CACTGGCAAATGAGAACATGGATTGATGAGAACTCAACCTCAACAGTATCTCATCCAACCGGTGGCTGATGATTAAGATAATCGTTGTATTGATTGTATTCCTCATGATTTTCCTATTTTTTGGGGGCATAACATTATATCAAGAATAACTAAAAAGAAATAGAAAGAAAGTGCCTTTTCAAAGGCCACGGGCCTTACACCATCAAGTGATCAAGTCTCATCCAACATTTCAAAAATTATATTTGCAGTTTTGCACTGCCTTGTTGTACATAACATCATAAGCTTTTTGTGTGTATATACAATGAGAAGTCTACCATTATTCTTCCCTTATATTTTCTCGGGTAAGTTGCTGYTAGGATGACATGTCTTCATAGCTTCTTCTTCAGTTSTTTCCCATTTGCATTTCATCAGTGTGTTTGTGTGTTTGAAAATTGAAACAGAGAGCAGAATTGGTATAAATTCATTGAGTGGTCGTGCTTATTCTCAGTTGACGTCTGTGAATGAACAAAAGTACTAACTATTAACTATAAAGATTATGCATTTGGTTTGGCGAGGTTAAGATGTATCAATTATCGATTTGAGTGTGAGATTGATGAACTCTAGCAAATTGTTAAAATATTGGTGGACGCTGATATTGCATTTTCTTGGCACTCCATTTGTTCTCATTGTAGTTTCATTTGAGTGCAATCTGGTCTACATCTTTCATTACTTTGCTTCATCTTTTATTTTCCTTGATCCATACTGCAAACAAACTAACCCATGCTAAAACTCAATACTAAAATAAACCAGAATTTGCACTCAATAGTCAATTTGTTTACAAACATGGAAATGGGATCGCACAACAAACTAACAAGTAACAAGAGGGGACTAGGGATCCTCTTAAGAAGTAAGAGTTAAGAGGAAACAAACAGGCCCACACTTTAGCCTAGATTAACTCTTAGGCAGAAGCCACATATCCTAGATTCGCCCTTGACACATTAATATAATTCTCAAAAGATTTGACCCATAACCCTACAAGGATTTTGGTTTTGTATCAGGTTTGAGTCTGAAAAGAACTGATCCATACATTACCAACTAAGATATTTACCACTGTTAATTACTCAATTTTCATGTTTAAAAGAACTGATATTTAGCCATCACCGTGTCTAGAGAACACAGGCTTCGGTTTCACCAAATGGGCTTAAATTATAACTAAGTTTTAGGAAATGGACTTATATGTTATACACCCAACTGTTTGCTAAATCCTTTAAAATGCCTTTACATTCTAACAATTGACTAATTGTATCAATACTGTCACATTCCATTGGCACGTGATTGTTGTAACTTTTTAAAACCCAATTTTCTCCTTAAAACCATTCACATTCCATTGTTGTTAGATTTGATAAGGGTCACCAATTTTCAAGAACCTACACCTAGCTATTTGTTATAACTTTATGTGGACCAAACTAGATTAGACTTTAAACTTTTTACTGATTTTCAAGGGGAAAATTTCCAAGAGAGGAGGGTGATGTAAGCCATGGGGCTGCATGGTGCAGTAGCATAATTAGGGGTGCAAATGGATCGGATCATGATCCGATTCGATCCTATTTGATTGAATTTAGTTCACCTCTGTTCAGATCTTCACATCGGATAATATGATCCGACCAGAAAGTGGATCAGATTAGGATCAACCGAATTACAAAGGGTTAGCAAATGGAGAAGATATGGGAAGATGATGAGGATGAAAACAGACATTTGTAGAAGATGAGGATGAGAACTCCAATTTCCAGAGACAAACCTGTGTTCCTTGTCTGCTAAGCACCTAAAACACATGGAAGGAAAAACGTTCTTGATAAAAAAATGCAAAAATAAAACATGGATGATGTGCGAAACGGAATTCTGTCTCCTTGTCGTCTGAGAAGATGAAGACAAGGTTACCATCGCTAGAGAAGACAAAGACAATATCCTATCTCCTTGTTGTCTGAGATCTAAGATCAAAGTTGATGGAGGAAGAGAAGGGTGTTTTTCGTAGAACAAAACACCAAATAGCCTGAAAGCCTGAAAGGGGATGTGAGTATTTACCGGAGGCCGTAAACCTCGCTGGAGATGAAAGATAAAGTGGTTGGAGTTCAGACCGTTGCAGAGGTGGGAGATGAGAACAGTCCACCCTCGACAAAATTTTCTCACTCGTCATGCAACTTTTGTGTCTCACTAGGGTCGCACCTATTTAGTGAGACCCCGCGTCCCTTATTTTGAGAATACTAATCCCATCTAATCCTATTTTCTCATCCATATTGCATGAACCAAACGGACTGCAAGGGAAATGTTCTATATTTTTCCTTTTATATGTTCTAACCTCACCTCTAATCTTGCCTCCTTCACCCTCGCTTCCCCCCTCCTTCAATCCCTAATTCTTTCTTCCCTCCACTCTCCTCTGCTGAACCTCTATCCCCTTTTCCTCCTATGCTCCCCAACAGCTCTTCCACATCCCTCGTTTCCTTTTGCCCCTTCAACCCCGTCCACTTCATGTCCTTGTCTGCTCTCCCCCTTTTCTGTGACTCTACTTTCAATACTTCTCCACAAAGGCAAAATAATCTCCCCACTCTGTTTTTTATTACTACCATATGTTTTAAGGGTTCAATTTAATACATGTGTTGGACATAATTGGTAACCTAATTTCACATGTTCATATTTGTAGGTTTATTTGGAGTGAACCCATCTATAAATCCTTATCCACGAGTACAAAATGTTCATATTTCCTGGAGTGAAACCATCTATAATTTCACATGTTCATATTGTCTGGAATTTGTAATAGCTTGGAAGCTGCTTTACATTGTGTACAGAATCAAATCAATGGTTGTGCATTTTGGTTGGTCCATCATCATCTGGT